GAGGTGAGAGAGATGCTCGTGCAGGAGGGGTGGATGACGTGGGAGCCTGGCCCGCTGCTCCTGAACCTCATGTGTGCCCTGCAGCCTGCTTAGGCCTGATTCTGGATGTGCCACTTCTGCCTCACAATAGTTTTCTGCTGGGCCCTCCCAGCCTTATGGCTTGCTGGAGCTTCTGCTGAGCAGTTCTGGCTTCGTGGTCAGAAAGGGCATGAAAATTGCAGTGTAGACTATCTCTGGGTGCCACATGCAAATTCTTCTTCCCCTTTCACTCATGTCTCTTTCTCAGTGAAAGAAACAGCCCACCAGATCAAAGATGCAACACTGTTCCCGTGCTTGGTCGGCCACAGTACGTGAGGAGCTCAGAGCTGGAGGCCCCCAGAGGGTAGACTACTTGCTGTCTATGGTTATCCAGTCACTGATGTCTTAAAGAAGCAAGAAGCAGAACTCCCAGCCAGCTGGTGATGATGCTAGGGGCTTCTAGTCTCTCAGCGCAAGAGGAGCTGTCAAAGTAACAAATGACGCATTTTTAGGTCACAGGATTACCCCTTAGCCGGGTCCTCTTTGTTTGATTAGCAGTTCCTTTTCCTTAGTGTCTTCCTTCATCTTCTTCCCTTTCTTCTTTTCATTTTCCTCCTCTGCCCCTCTCATCAACAAAGGTCACTGCGTTAAGGAAACTGCTTCTTGGAGAAGAATTTAACAGTACCCTATTATAATCACACCGTCTTATTCAGAAGCAGGTGGTATTACCTGTCAACCGGGTTTGCACATAGCAAATAGCGGCCACCCAACTCAGCTGAGGCTCCTGGGCAGATAAAGTGGCCAAAGGAGACAGCCCTCTGGAGGCCTCGAAATCTCATTTTCATTCCCTTTGTGGAGAAGAGACTAACTTTATTGACAAAGACGACTGAAAATGGCTTGAGCGTTCCGATCACCAGTCTGCGCTGAAGCCGAGAGACAGCCTGGCGGAGGGAGCTCCTGCTCCACGGCGCAGCTCGCCGAGCCCTGCTTCGCTGCAGCATGAGTCTGGGGCACGTGCAGAGCAGACTGCGAGGGGCCTCCCGCCGGCCTCACAAGCAGCTGCTCTCCGCCTCACTCCCAGCCTGCCGCTGCCTTTCCTGGACCCCACCCATAAACCAACATGAAGTCAGGCAATCTCTGCCAGCAATCAAACTCTTAGACTGATACCAGGGCCCGGGGTCAGGCCCGAGTTAGCTGGACAAGGCGAATGCCCTGCTGTCCACTGGAGGGCTCTTTGGCTTGACTGCACATTCCAGGTAAGCCACTAGATGTCACCACTATTGATTTGTGTCCTCACTCCCAGGTCCTGGGGACAAGACAGTCCTAGGAGCTAAGAGAATTCTATACAGAATTCCATCACAGCCTGAACTCCACGGCTGCTTTAGATGCTACAACAGTCTGAGATCCTCCGTGGGCCTCTTCTCAGCCAGTATGGGCTCAGACCCAAAACAGCTGAGCTGATAGTGAAGCAAGACTTCGCTTCAGCAAACCCCAACTCTCGCAACAGTGTCCCTGCTCTTTCTCCAGTTCCTCCTAGTCATCATCGGTTGTCATGTATCCTTCTGGTTCATCCAGGTCCTCGATGAGAAGTAAATTAATATGTGTGCCTCGTAGCACCAGAGATTGTAGATGTCGATGTGCTGCTGAAATAATGTAGGTCTGTGGCTTTTAGCAGAGAATGACTGACAGATGGATAATTTATGATGATTCTTGAGACCTGAACTATAATTATGAAGTATTTCTAGGTGTATATTCAGGATGCAAAGTGTAAGGAACCCAGAGCTAATGTTAATTTATTACTGACAGCTGTATATATAATAATATATCATGTCCTTTAATCTTACATTCCTTCTGACTTACATCAAGCAATCTTTTCATTCATTAATAAAATCAAGCCTTGCCATTATTCTTAATGATGAAGTCCCATTTTGAACCCAGAGGACTCCTATAATTAAACTCCATACTTCCATATACCAGACATCTGAAGCTCAAAATAAAAGGATAAATTGAACTGCTGGTTTTACAGGCAGGATGAAAACGTCAGAAGGATGGAGCCCACCTGCTTGCAGTCCCACTGGAGCTAAACAGAAGGTCAGGGAAAATGTTTGTGTTTACCTTCTCAGCTTACACTACCACATCCTTTTTTTTCCCTCTTTGAGCCCCCCTGCCTCCTCTCGCTCTTCCACATTCTTTCCTTTTTGGAGGCAGTATATCCAAAGCATATTTTTTAAAGGTCATGATTAAAATTACAACTAAAAGAAATACAGGTTAACATGTCTCCTCTGATTTTCTATGCTGTGCCAAAGACGTATGTGATTAATCCCTTTGAAAGAAATCGAAACTAATCTTATTACACAAAAGACAAAGTGTCCTTCCTAAGTATCATGGCTGGGAACAAGCTGGTCTTCTCGAGTTTCACCTAGCTCAGTGTCTCACTCAGTTTACAACCAGCCATCACCTTGGCAACTTCCTCACTGTGCTGTCTTCCTCCCTGAGAGTTTCCGAAATTTAAACAGTGCTCTGGTTTAAACTGTCAAGCACGCACCTTGTATTATCAGAGTCCCTGGTCACTTTAGGAGATACTTTAGAAGATACAGACCCTGATACTTGTAGGAGAAGCAAGACCTTTCACCTCATCAACTAATGAATGATCCCAAAGTGGAATAATGAGATGCGTGGAGATAGGGATGCAGTTATCTGGGTCATCTCTCATCTGGAGACAGTCAGGTTCCATCAGGTAGGCGCTAGATAACCGAGTAAGCAAGTTTTCTATCTATAACACTAAATCTTACTATGATTGGTTAATTAAATCGTGGTGAATAACATTCCATGGCAAGTGGAAGGCGCTTAGAAGAGTTTCAGTGAGATATCCACAAGTTCAATGGAACTACATCTGGATGTCTTTGCCTTCCTCTGACTTAAAAATGTTCACTGTAATTTTCTGGAGAGCTCTTGTGTATGAAAGAGAAATACTGAGGTTTTGCTCCCCTAGCTTTTTGACATTGCCTTGGTTTTTCTATTGTATTTTGTATCTTATACATTCTCTGTCTTCAGGAATGAAGGTCCTAATTCTTTCATTAACATTCCTATCTGCCCGTAATGGTTTCTTTCTATTGGTTCTGCCTCTTTCAGTAACTTTGGTGTACAGAGAGGGAGTATCAGTCAGTCAGTCAGCAGTGGCTATGTCACGCACGCTGCAGTAACAAACAGCTCCAAAACCTGTGTGACTTCCTCACCCTACATATCCATCATGAGTCAGCTGGGGGCTCAGCTCCTCATTGTCACTCTAAAATGTAGGCTGACAGGGTGGCCACCATTTCAAACATTGCCAGTCATCAAGCCAGCGAGGAAAGAGGGCTCTGGCGAGAACTACACTGGGAACTAAATGCGCCAGGCTGGAGGGGCAGCCCTCACACCCATACACAATTCACTAGCCAACACCAGTCACAGGCCACACCTCCAAGCCAGGCAGAGGGCCGAAGTTCCATCTAACCTTGTGCTAGAAATAGCTGGTGAATACCAGAAAAGACGACCACAGGAACTTCAGACAAAGATACACTGACCTTCTTTCATTGGTTTTAGAACTCCCTTATTTTCCCTAGATTATAGCTTCTCCACTTTCAGATTCATGGACATTACAGGTAAGACATTTCTAAAGAAAAGCCTCTCTTCAGATCCAAACAAGGATTGCTTGTGTCGGCAGCTCAAGGAAAGGAAAGAAATTTGCACATTAATTGTTTGTTCTTTCTCCCTGTCATGTATTTCTGGTTTGCCTTGATTTTTTTCCTTCCACCCTTCCATGCTAGTCTCCTGTTCAACTTCTTTTATTGAACAAAATTCCTCAACCCTTTATTTTTCCTTCTCCTTAGCTATTTGGTCCAATTGGCAAAGGATTCTGTGGAATGGCAGAATTCTAACTTTACTGGTTTCCCAACCACCAAATTCAGGTGATTTTGTATCTTGAGATACAGTAAGGGGAATGACTGACCTGTCTGAACAGCAACTTTAAGTTTTTTGCTGCAACTTTCCCCCACTTAATAATTGAGAGCCCAGCCTGCTACAAAGGCCTCTAAATATAGCCGGAATTGCTGAGAGGTATCTCAATGAACAGGTCCAGTCCTTACTGTGACCAGAATCTTCAGTTTTACTCCTTTCCTACTGTTGGTGGCCTATCTACTGGGTCTAGACCCAAGCGCCCTGCTGTGTAGTTCCTAATACACTAAAACTGTCCAGCACTCTTGGTCAAGTTAGGTGAAATGCTTCACTCCCTTTGGATTTTATTCTGTTAGCAGGGGAACCAAAACAGGCTGCTTATAATCCTATGTGTATGTCATGAAACAGATCCAAATGACAAACACTATGGTGCCCTCAGAAGACTGAGGTTGTGTTACCCACACAGGTAGTTACCAGCTGCCAAGTCAGGCCCCACCATCCCTAGGAGGAGTTCTTTCCCTGAAAACTCTCAGTCTCCCAAACAAATAGATTTCCCAGGGCCAGCTCTGCCCCTTGCCAGACACATCTGAAGTCCAGCCATGAATCCAGCAAGGACTTCTAAATTTTAGCCAAGAACAACGCAAAAAGGGTAGCCCAACCAAAGCAGTAACAAATTCTGAAGCACAGGGCTGAAAAGAAGGCCAGTGGCCATTGTTGAAAGCCAATTCGGGAGGGGATGGAGTGATGAAGCAGATTTGGGCGACGTGGGGAGACTGCAAGTGATCATACTCTGACTTCGACCCCAGACGACCACCGAGAGGCCACCGCGCAGGCCTTGAGAGCCCGCCAACCACGCCCGAACCCCGCCCAGGACGGGCCACTGCCGTCAGCCTGGAGGCTACCTCGTCCGGGCCAGCCTCGCCCCGGAGCCCCGGGATGCCCGTGGGCGGGGCCTGAGCCTCGCCCCGCCCCCGCCGCCCGCCACTCGGGTCACCTGACCTGCCCGTGGCTCACGTGATCCGTGCCCGGCGCCGCCATTTTGGAGCTCCGGATGAGGAGGGGAAAAGCGGGGGAAAAGAGGGAAAAGAGCCGGGAGAGAGGTGGGCGAGGACGAGGGCGAGGGCACGGCCAGGCGCCCGGCCGGCCCACGGAGGCTCGCGGACGCAGCAGCCGCCGCCCGACCGCAGGTACCGCGCCCCGGGGCCGCCCCTCCGCCCGCCCGCAGCGCCGCCGCCGGCCATGTGCGCCCTCCCTCGGGCCTCTGCCGGCGCCCGCCCGGAGCTCGCCACACGCCGCAAGTTCCGTGTCCCGCTTCGGTCCTCGCTGCCGCCCACGGCAAGGCTCGCGGAGCCCCCGGCCTTGCCCACCGCCCGGGGAGGGGGAAGCCCCGCGCCGCGCGTCCTGTCACCAGCGCGGTCCGCGGGCAGGCCCGCCGAGGCGTTGCCCCCTTGCCCTCTGCAGAGGGGAAGCCGCCCGGGCCCGTCGGGATGGAGCCGAGAACGGCGTCCTCACCGCCTCTCTCGATTACTTTTTCTCGACTCCCACCGCCCCCGTCCTCGAGCCACACTGCTTCGTGTAGAAAAAGCGAGTACAGAAAAGCAGCCCCAGCCCTCTGCACCTATTGCGAACCTCTGAGATGAAATGAGCTCCCCCGAGATCCCCGAGCTCACTGGGAAAAGCTCCTACTTCTTAAGACCTGGGGGCATGGGAGTGAATGGTTTGTGTGGAAGGCCTGGATGATTAATTCGGCCGAGGCCACCATCCCAGCCTGGAGGCGATCTTTTTCGTTAGTGCAGTGGGGTGTAATTTGCTATCAGTGTGCATCTCTCTTATCAGGCAATTACTGGATTTATCACCTTGAGTTTGTGCTTTCTCCGGTCCTCCGCTCTGACCCAGTGTATGGGTTGCGATATTGATTACAAGAGAAAGCTTGGCCCTTCATTCCTTTACCTCACTAACTCGTTTAAAATTAACTTCGGAGGACCAAAGACATGCTCTCCACCCTGGCAGTGAACTATTTACTTAACCGTAATCGATAAGATAGTTGCATTCTAGGTGAAATGAATAAGCGGTCTTTGATCTAAAAGATTCATTCTGGCTAGTGAAAGAAACAGTAGCAAAGAAATGTAGCACCAGGGCGGGAAACTGCATTAAAAGATGTATAGGTCAGTCTGCTGTGTCCTATCTTTTCATGCTGCCATTCAGCCTCCTGTGCTTGTAGAACTGTTTGAAGTTTGCAGAATCATCCCTTAGATTGTATTTTTGGTTAAGATTAAGATAACAATATACTATTTATTGTTCCTTATTCGTTAGAAAGTGGTATCAATAAAACCAGTAGTATTTTTAGTCCTTTCGATAAAGTCTGAGCTAAAACAAAGTACACCATTATTGGGAGAAGTTTCCAGAGCTGTACTTTCTGACTTGCACAAAATCCTGAAGTCTACTTGTTAGATAAGTTATATAAATTTGCCTCACGTAAGTGGGTTACATGAACATTCCTCTGAATTTCTTTTTCACATAGATTATCAGGAAATTTTTCACTGCCAAAAAAAAAAAACCATTACTTTGTTTAACCAAGAAAGAGAAATGTTTGATACTGTATACTTTCATTCTTGGCCACAGCTGGATTTTGAAGATTGATCCAAGGGACTGTATTAATTTCAGGAATTGATTTGAAAGACACTGGCTCTGCCACTTAACAGCCATGTAACCTTGGGTAAGTCACTTAAATTGCACTGAGTGTTTCCTTATTTGTAGAATTGTGTAACACCCACCTAGCCTGTCCCAAAAAGTTATGAGGATCAAACACACTAACGTGTTTGATACAGCCTGACTGTAGGGGGCTGTTATTCTTTTCGGTGTTGTTACTTTATACATTTTTGTTCTCACTGAGAAATAAGAGGAAAATAAGAGGAAGGATGGATTTAGAATCATGCCTAGATTCCAATGCTTCAGCCAGTTATTACTTTATATCAGTGAGCCTCAGATTCCTCATGTGCAAAAAAAGAGGTTAATATCACCAGGAATTATGTGAGTAATACACTAAATCTTCACGCTGCTCCCTGGACTATGAGACCTCAAGGGCAAGGATTTCCTCTCACTCATTTTCATAGTCTCCAGCACTGTTTGGGCACACAGTGTGTCCGGCACATTGTTGGTGCTCAATAAATGTTAAATCTGAATATTGCTTAACATTAGTTAGATCTTATGTCTTAACTGCAGCTGCCAAATTAGAATATTCTCTCAGGCTAGATGCCAGCTAAGAAATTTTAGACTATGAAATTCATATACTTGTGATATTTATACTCAGTTATTTTTCTTAGTGGTAATTAAGAATTACATTAAGCTAAGGAGATTTTAATTCAAATAAATTATGGCTGATATTAGTAAGATAAATCTATAAATAATATGTAAGTAGTTGCCAGGTGATTTTTTATATACGGTTTATAATTCAGGAACATGAAAGTTCATCCAGCACCACACTCTTATTTTACATCTGAGGAATCTAAAAGCCACAGAAACAGTGACTTGCCTAAGGTCACACAGCTAACTGAGGGCATTCTAGGAGAGGGACCCATGAGCTTATGTCCCATGTCGTCTTTTGGCTGGAGTAAAATAAATGTTTATATTTTAGAATTACGATAATTTAGAAGAATGGGGAATTGGCCATTACTTCTATAGCACAATTTTTTTCTAGTTTGGAAAGAACAAATCCTTAGTCTGAAAGAAAAGGTTCTTTATACCATATTGAACTGTCTTTGTATATACACAGAAAATTACAGCCTTTCTCCAGGCCCACACGAATTGTTCAAGTTGATTTTACTTAGGATAATCATACTGCTATAACTGGAAGAAACTAATTAGATATACAAATAAACCAAATAGCAAATTATAGGAAACTAAAGACAACTGAAATAATTTGACTCTTTTCTTGGGAAAGACATTAATTGTAAGCTTTTGTCTGTGGAATGCTGTTGTCTTAGAAAAATTTGAGATGCACTGGAAAAGGCTGTAAAACTTTTCTGGTTTGGGATACAACTTTTATTTATTTATTTGTAACAATTCAATATATTTGGTCTAATGTTGTTATGTCTAAAGATTCCAAACAAGAAACCCTGTTTTGTGATACCTCTTGTCTTTCCTCTTCCTTGTAAACCTTACTATTGAGCCGTATTGATCTTTTCACTAACCCTTGGATAGCATGCCTATTCTTGCTTCTGAAAGTATAATAATTATGGCTACTTTCCTTGTTAGTCTTACCATTGTGTCAACAGAATTCCAAGAAAGCCAATAGCACACCCTAATTAGGATAATTCAAGGAGGATGTATTTACAGAGATACTCCTAATAAAGGTGTAGGGCATGTATATGTGGAGCTAGCAGGATCGGGAGAAGGGAGAGGTCCCAGAACCACGAGAGTCTGGTAGAGCAGCCTGCCTGGGGAGAATGGCTTTCTTCTGAGGAACGTGGCCAATTTGAGGTGACCTGGAGGGATGAAACTGGGGAAATGAATCTCCTGATCTCACTCTCCTGCCTCCCTCTGGTCTCCTGTCATGGCTTCCCATTGGCGCAACTCAACCAGAAACCACAGGGTTTTGGAGCCTGATGCTATACTCCCTCCTGGGACAGAGAGTAGAGTGCAGAAGAGGAGACAGTGACTCTAGAGGGAGAAATGGCTGACATCTGGTGTGCTCATCTTTTGGAATACAGTGTACATCTTACTTCTTCCAGAAGCCTTTGCTTACCTTCCTAGACCAAAAGGAGCTCTTAGTCTTTGTTAGGATTTTGTCACTGACTGCTGCCTTCTGACTGTTTTACCTTATGTACTATTGCATTGTTTAAAAGCTGTTAATTCTTTTTAACTTCCAAATATATTTATCTTATCCACTCAGCTCAGTTTTAAACCATGAGTACTGTGAATTTAAAATTTTTTCGATTCTTCCTGGTACTTTGCTTGGTACCCTGCACAGAATTTTTTCTGTAACTTTTTGTTAAGAAAAATTTTGAACATTTACACCAGTAGAAATAATAGTATCATGAACTCCTAGGTACTCATCACTCAACTTCAGCTACAAAATTTGCCATTCTTACTTTATCCCTACCCTCTCCACCCACCCAATGTAAAGTTGCATTTCCATTGAACTCTTGGAGGCCATGGATAGCATGCAGATTATTGTAATCCATGTTGTCATCATTATTGAGCCACTGGGATTGTATTTGTACTCCTTATTTTTGTCCCTTTTATTCAAATAAATTTTCCTTCACTTGACATGCAATCCCATATATATGTACATCAGTGGCCAAAGTGAAACTTTTGTGAAAATTTGAAGAGTTGGCCACGAGGTCAACTTTACTTCCTGTGTATACTTTACTATGAACTGTTTATCTAACATTTTTAAGAGACTTTGTTTTAATGAGACTTAACTTGTACATTGATTTGCCACATGGACTCAAACTGGTTTTTCAGGTGTTTCTTGATGTATTTTATGTTGTCATATCTGTTTTATGGCTTCCATTTCTGTACTTATCCCCAAATGTCTGCAGCCTCTAAAATGAGATACTTACATAAATGTTCAGGGAAAATTGGAGCATCTGCTGCAAATTTCCATTAGCTCTTAATGCCTGAGCAGGCACAGCTTTAAAAATCTGAATGTTTTGTCAGATTCTTTTGTATTAGTCTTTTGCTTGAGATAAAATGAACTCCTCCCCTTCTTCCTTCCACTTTCTTTTTAAGGTACACAGTGAAATATCCACAGGGAGCAATTTGCACGGCTCTGTCTCCCCCCTATTGTATCATTAAGTAGAAGAAGGATAATCTGAGTCACCTTTGTAACCCTGTGGGTGTGCAGAGTCTGCTGAGGAAATATTCACTTGTTAACCTCCAGATTATCAATCAGCCTACATGGATGTCCTGTTTCCTGGGGAAGGAGGCCATAGATCTATAGTAGAGCACCGAATCTTGTGCAAGAAACTGAATGTGCAGGGACTCCTATCATTAACTATTACTTAACTAATTTGCGTTTAACAATTGAACTGAAAGAAAGCCTTAAGTGAATGACCCTAAAAGGAAATCAGTAGTCACAGGAAGAGCCACAGCTCCCCTTGGCCTAAAGATGTGGAATTCTCAGGCAATAAGGTGACTTAGGAAGTCACAAAGGATTTTTCTAAGGAAACAAAGTGTTCCCCCACTGGTCCCCTCTTTTAGTGACTTAAGGTTGAATGTAGAGATTTAAAAACACTTTTGTTCATCCTACTTAAGAAAGATTGAAGGAACTAGTCTTTTGAGCGGTAATGCCCTTAGATTGTTAAGGGGAGAGAGTGGCTAAAGGACCACTGGGCTTTGGGAGCTGGGATAGCTGTCATTTGTTGTAATGACTGTGGAAGGCGTGCCCTGCCATGAGTGTGGTCAGAAGTGGAAAAGAGAAAGAAGCTGATCACGTAGGGCACGGTGTTAGGAAGGAGGGAAGAAGTAGTCCTAAGGAAGCCGAGAGTAAAATGTTGGCCTTTTTGCCTGATGTGGACCTAGATCTAGAAAGGTAGTGTGCCAGGAAGAGTAGAAATAAGAGAGGAAAAGCTATAACTGCTGCCGAGAGTTGATCTGGGGAACTGGCGCTGAGGCAGGTCAGAGCACTGGGGGGGTCTGGGAGGAGTTTAGGTGTGATCTTGGCAGGGGCTCCAGGAACCCGATATGTCGATTCAGTCCCCTGGGGGAAGAGGAGCCATGATTTACCTCCTGAAATAAGAATTCAGAGCCTCTGACTGAGATTTAAGAATAGTATGGGCTATGGTCTATAGCTAGTGCCACGAAAAATTTGCTGGCATTTATTGAATGTTGTGAGTAAGATCCCAGAATGCACCTAAAATGTGGAAAAACAAAACTTGTTGCTGGAAAAAAGCCTACACTTAAAAATCTGATCCAAGTCAACAAATTAATCTCACTTTAAGCCAAAGGAAATGTTTGAAATGAAAGTACTGCCAGGAGATAGAGTAATCAAGTTTGAGACTGAAAGATATTGGGAGTCCTTTATGTTTAGTGACTTCCTTGGCCATAACACACTGCCGGAACCTGCAGATAACCCTTCTAAGGACTCTGTCCATATTGAGACTGGAAACACAACTAGGATATCAATTTTTTCCTTTTCTGATACCCCTTTCCCTTTCAGAAAAAAAAATATGTATGTGTGTGTGAGTAATAATTGACCACTAATATGACCTCTGGAAAAAACCACAGCATAGTTTGTGGTTTATCTCCAGGAAGATAAAGGAAGTGAGAGAAGGAACTGGATCGTTGCTTTTATGTAGTTTCGTTTGCATAGTACTACTCAAAGTTCACTGTGCCCTTACAATAGGTTACGTGACTATATTTTCACAAGTCCAAAGATTTGGGGAGAAAAAACCCTGAAATTTATGATTTTAATAATAAAACTACAATTACATTTGGTGTAAGAAATTGCCTCCCAAGAATTGTGTGAGTCATGTATTGGCTTTACAGATGGTATTTCATAGTAACTTGAGGTGGTTTCACATGCCCTGGGAATGGCCATCTTCCTTCAATCAAGGAACAAGAGTCATTTGTTTTGGCATTGTGCAAAAAAAGGGGAGTATTGATTGGGTCTAGCTAGATGTCTAGGGCAAAGAAAGTGAAGGAAGAAGGAGATGCAGGTTGTTAAAGTCGTTTCCAAAGAAAGAAATGAAGGATAGAAAGATCTGTATCATCAGTCTTGATAGGAGATACCATTCCCAAGAGAAATTCTGAACAATTTAGGTCTCTATGGGAGAAGCAAGATATATTGATATGGAGTTCCCAGGTTAGAAAATACTAAGATTGGTTTATATTTCCTGAATTATATACCTGTGTAACCTGGTATTTCTTTCTGTTGTATATTATCCTTTTTAGATATGGAAGAAAGCAGCACTGTTGCCATGTTGGTGCCAGATATTGGAGAACAGGAGGCTATACTGACTGCTGAAACTGTCATCAGTTCATCACTGGAAATTGATGAACAAAGAAAAGCTAAAACAGATCCATTAATCCATGTTATCCAGAAGTTAAGCAAGATAGTGGAGCATGAAAAGTCACAAAAATGTCTTTTAATTGGGAAAAAACGCTCACGTTCAAGTGCTGCAATGCACTCTCTTGAAAACCAAGAACTTTGTGAGATTCCAGCTAAAGTAACCCGGTCGTCTGCTGCTGATATTAGAAGGGCTGAGATGTCGCAAATACATTTTACCCCTGACTCTCTTGCCCAGAATGATGGGAAGGCTATGTCTTACCAGTGTAGCCTTTGTAAGTTTCTGTCATCATCTTTTTCTGTGTTAAAAGATCATATCAAGCAGCATGGTCAGCAGAATGAAGTGATATTAATGTGCTCAGAGTGCCATATTACATCTAAAAGCCAAGAGGAACTTGAAGCTCACGTGGTAAATGACCATGAAAACAATGCCAGCAGTCACACTCAACCCAAAGCCCAACAGTGCGTAAGCCCCGCCAACTCCTTGTGTCAGAGAACCACGGAGAGAAATAATGACAGCACTCCTGACGTCCCAGTAAGTCTGGACAAGCCACAAGCTCATAATGCCCAAACTGTGTCCATGACAGAAGTGGGTAGGAGGAAATGGTATGCATATGAACAGTATGGCATGTATCGATGCTTGTTTTGTAGTTATACTTGTGGCCAGCAGAGAATGTTGAAAACACATGCTTGGAAACATGCTGGGGAGGTTGACTGCTCCTATCCAATTTTTGAAAATGAAAATGAGCCCCTGGGCTTGCTGGATTCTTCAGTGGCTGCCGCACCTGGAGGGGTTGATGCAGTAGTCATTGCTATTGGAGACAATGAACTGAGTATCCACAACGGGCCATCAGTGCAAGTGCAGATTTGCAGCTCAGAACCGTTATCATCCTCGTCTCCTTTAGAACAGAGTGCAGAAGGGGGAGTTCATCTAAGTCAGTCAGTTACCCTTGACACTAATGAGGAAGAAATGCTGGAGGTGATTTCTGATGTGGAGGAGAATCTGATTGCTGATAGCCTACTTTCCTCAGCACAGAAAATCATCAGCAGTAGCCCAAATAAAAAAGGTCATGTCAACGTGATAGTGGAGCGTTTGCCAAATGCTGAAGAAACTCTTTCACAGAAGCATTTCCTCATGAATGCTGAAATTGAAGAAGGGAAGAACCTGAGCCCCACAGAAGCCCAGCTTGGGTGTGAAGGAAGAGATGAAGTTTATCGTGCTGATAAATGTACTGTTGATATTGGGGGGCTGATCATAGGCTGGAGCAATCCAGAGAAGAAAGACAGTGAGTTAATAAGTAAAGGACTGGCTCCTGACGAGAATGCCCCACCAGGCCGAAGAAGGACAAATTCTGAGTCTCTTAGACTGCACTCATTAGCTGCAGAAGCCCTGGTTACGATGCCTATAAGGGCTGCAGAACTAACAAGAGCCAACCTTGGGCACTATGGGAATATAAACCTTTTAGATCCAAATACTGGACAAAGGCAAGTAGATAGTACATTGGCAGCATATTCTAAAATTATGTCACCACTTAAAAACTCTTCAGATGGCTTGACTAGTTTTAACCAAAGCAGCTCTACCTTGGTTGCGCTCCCAGACGGCAGGCAGGAATTGTCAGATGGGCAAGTAAAGACAGGCATCAGCATGTCTTTGCTCACTGTAATTGAAAAGTTGAGGGAAAGGACAGACCAAAATGCTTCAGATGATGACATTTTGAAAGAGTTACAGGATAATGCCCAATGCCAACCCATCAGCGATCCAGGTTTGTCAGGAAGCAGTGTAGTGGAGTACATCCCTCATGCTGATCGGCCCTACCGCTGCCGCTTGTGTCACTACGCAAGTGGGAACAAGGGCTACATCAAACAGCACTTGCGAGTCCATCGACAGAGGCAGCCGTATCAGTGTCCTATCTGTGAGCACATAGCTGACAACAGCAAAGACTTGGAGACCCACATGATCAACCACTGTAAAACAAGAATATACCAGTGCAAGCAGTGCGAAGAATCTTTTCATTATAAGGTGAGCCCTGGGGCTTGAAATCAATCAGAGAACCTTAGGATTTGAGAGCAAGGAGGGAACTTTGTAGACATAGTCCAACCACCTCATTTTATAGATAAGGAAACTGAGGCCCAGAAAAGTACGGTAATTTGCCCAGGGGATCCCAACTAATTAGTATGAAGGTTGGGACGGAAATCTAGGTCATAAGAATTTCTGGTGTAGGATTCTTTTCCCTACTTCCTGCCTCCTTAACAGCTTCTGTGTTTATCGCTTAGTATTTTAGTGTGTCTGTCTTTTTTAAAAAGTATTGATTTTAAATAACAAGGGAATTACAAGAGAATGTATAGTGGAGGGACATCATAAACATTTGACTTACACAAATTTAATGCTGCATTATCAACATAAAAATATCTATTTTTCAACTTACATGGCCCCCCCCCCCCCATGCAAGTCATTCACTTCAACTGCTGCACAAACAACCAACAGTGATTTGTATCATTGCAGAAAGAAAAATGGGCTGTACTGGACTTAGGGAAAGACAATACAGTGGAAGTAGAGCCCCTTAGCTTCTGTTTCATGGGCAGTTTTAGGGACTTTCAAGGATTCCTTTAGCGATGTGATTTTCATCTTATGTGCTACCTTAAAAGCAACAACCAGCATGAAATACTGTTTTTGTGAAAGAAACTCACATTCATTGAATCGTTGATTTAGAACTTTTCTTCTTCAGGGTGCCAGTTAACTGTTTGAAAAGTCAAAAATGTATCCTATAGGTCTAACTGAGATGTAGACTTTCCCTCTCAAATTACTCAGAGTTGGGGTCTAGCTGGTGGTAAAAAGCTAATCAGAAATAGAAAAGCCTTTGAGTCTGAGATTCACCGCCTACTTGGATTGCCCTCATGAAATTCTGAAATGGCCTCAGGCCACTAAACAAATAGTGCATCCAAATGGGCTGCAGAAGCAAGTTCCAGAAGTTTCCAGGAGTTTCTTTTGCTGTTGCACTCTTGATTCGTGGGCGTGAGGTGGAGGAAGAAGACATCCTTGGAGGAGCAGTTCCAATTAGGTCTCTCTGACACATTTAGTTGATATCCACAAGCAGAAATTAATAGGAGTCCAGCAGTTAACTGTGATTGGATTTATTTTTCCGAAAGTATTGAGTTGTTCTGAACACTCTGCTCTTTCATCCTCTGGGCCTGCTTGTGGTTCAGTAAGCATGCACGTGCCACGTATCAACACCTCCTAAGATAGCGGTGGCTTCCTTTAGGAGAATACGAAAAGGGGAACTGTCTTTTTGATGAGGTTGTGATTTCCCTAGTGTATTTCTTTCCATAAACTGTCAAATATATCAAATTATCATCCAGCACATTTGATTTTAAAATCTTGGTAATGTGTTCTAGGTACTAGGCCATGAAAATAATTAATTCCTCCTACAGCCTTCTAGTCACTGTGCAAATATATTTATTGAAAATTACGTATTAATTTCTCTCAATGTTTTAGAGTCAACTGAGGACCCATGAGAGAGAGCAACACAGTCTTCCAGATCCCTTGTCAATAGCCACTTCTAGTGAGTCAAGAATTTCCAGTGATACAGCTGAAGGAAGATGTGTTCCAGAAGGTATCTGTGCATTTTTTATATAGGCTTCACTGACTAGCGTATGAAGTTAAAAAAATACCCTTAGTTGTCATATGGGTTATTTTCAGTACTAATGCTGCATATTTTTTTTCTATTTTTATACTATGGATGTGAGTGAATCTTATATCTGTTCCTAAGGAAATTCCGAATTCTAAATGAAATGCTATATTAGTAAGTACTCAGCTTCAACTGTGTAGGTAGATGTTACACTGAAATTTGTGCTGTCCTGCAAGAGCCAAGTATAGCATAAACCCTGAGTTGACATACCAGCAAGCCAGGAAAGCTGCAGCGTAGAAAGCACGCCTCCCCTCCCTCATTCGGCACCAGTTGACCCAGTGAGAACATAGCCTTTGCAGATGGTAGGCCCCCACCTCAAACCTTAACTGAGGCTTCCTGCCGTGATCTTATTCCTATCCAAGTATGACTGCCAGATTTCATCTGCATTGTTTAAAAAAAAAGAAAAAAACCAAGATCTTTTTATGTACTAGTTAGGTACCAGTCGGCCAAGTTTCTACTAATAGGAATATTAGAATCAAAAGATTTAATTAGAGTTCCATGAAAAGGCGGATGCCACATCCGGAGAATTAGGGATAAAGTGTAATAAGCTGTGCTTTCTTGCATCAGCTCACTTCAATTGATATACTTTAAATGTCTCAAGTGTGGTACATAGTGTTTATGGGAAATAAAACATATTGGGGTGACTTTCCTTTTTAGATTTCCTAAGAATTAAAGTTAGAAACAACTGCAGAGTAAAATGTTTTACCATAATGTTTCATTAAATTATACCCAAGAAAGCATAACTGATTCTAGAATGTTTCTGAAAGAACTGATTTGACACCACTGTAGCACCAAGATTCTCTTGTCAAACAGATGTCACCCCTGTAAAACTATCCAAAACAAAAGGAGTTTATGACATAGCATCTGTTTCTGCAGTAGATGGCTGAGCTAAAACAGTTTTGTTTCCTTTTTACAAAATAGCCCTAAATGCCTCCTTTTATTTTAATTCATTATGTTTCCATATCCCCTTTAAAGGAGACATTAAAACATTGGATAGCATTGGATCATAAATCCCTAATGAAGGAATAAAGTAACTACTACTCAGTGGCACCACCTGCGGTTAATACTAGTGGTGGAATATGTCTTTTCTAGCACCATCTTCAAAAGCAATAATTTAAAGCTGTGCAAATGGATTAACCAATTAAAACTCACAATTTTAGTAGAAAAGATTAAAATGTCAGCTCCAGAATAAAATAACCAGCTCGAGCTTTACGTTAGCATCTGTCCAGCATATTCCATTTTGCAGCATCTTTCCTTTGAGTCAGACTGTTTCTTAGGGTTAGATGTGTGGGTTTTAAATTGCTTGCCCTGCCTTTTTTCCTTCCACTTGGCTCCATTTGCTTTTCTCTATCACAGTAGTGTAACGGTTTAATGACTGCTAACCTCCTGCACACGGACAGCTATACTGAGACTTCATGAATTCAGTAGTAGAACTTTAGAAAGTAACCTGGTTGTTAGGCCAAAGAACAAGTTTTTAGGTCACAAGGAAGGTAAAAATAATTTATGTCCTATTAAAACTTCTTTAGCTATTTAGTGAACTTATTAAGCAAATGAGGATGTGTGTTTCTGTGGTCCCCACTGTCTCCCCACTTTGATAGCACAGAGAACTTAAGGCGTGGTTTCCACTCAGAGGTCCAGTGTAGTGGCACCTCAGACACTCGTTCTGCCGAGAGGCATGGAGTGCCCATGCTGAGCGGGACACTGTGCTAGGTGCTGGGAGTATGGCGAAGGCCTCGCTGTCTTTGAGGACCCCAGCCCAGTGAGGAAGACAGAACTGTGCCGACAGGTATGTGAGCAAGCACACGGCTGCTCTCATAGAGCCTCGGGCAGAGCACCTTCATTTTGTGTTTCTTCAGGAAATTTATTCTTCTGTAGTGTAAACCTGCAATTCACCAAGCCCTGGAATCCCGTGTAAACAAAACAGGTGCATCCCTGCCTGCGGGGAGTCGACAGCAGGCAGCAGTCAGACTCGAGGCCGGCACGCAGGACATGTGGACGCTGGTGAAGGAAACCACAGAGTGCTACTGGGCTCACCCACGCTGGGAGGGCCTAGTGTTTCCATTTTGTAGATGAGAAAACTGAGTCCTCAAGAGGTAAAATAATTTGCCTGTGATCACACGGGTACTAAGTGGCAGAGCGAGGACTCAACCCAAGTTTTTGAACTTTAAATCCAATTTTCTTTCCATTGGAGACAGTTGCTTGAAGTAGCACAGGCTCTCATTCTGTGCTATATTAAGTTTTTCCATCTGTCATTTTTATTAGTTGTCATTGATCTGTAATATTTCTCACACCAAACCATTATCCAATATTTCACACTTCATTTTTTCAGAGTTTTTTTTAAACTGTATTTGGAACAGTGCCACTTATAATCAAGTCCAAGTTTTTAACCTACCAATTAAGAGCAATACTCACATTATAATTATGATTAGTATGTATATTAATGTTACAGATTTATTCCAGGAAATTAGGACGTTTTGTTCTACTTGGCAAAAGTAGTTATTAGCAAAAGAAAATTTCAGTTTTAGAAAGCTTAAATTTAACTTAAGGATTTCCTTTGTTTTGTTCAAATGTCAGTGTGGGTTTTCTTTTGTGCCACCCATTTTACTTAGCTCTCTGTGCCCTGGTGTTCTACCTAAGCCAGCTTCCTGCTCAGCCTTCTTCAGCTTCCACGCTTGCTTTGTTTCTGCGTGTAAAGCAGTGGGGCTGTCAGTGGCCTGTGGACTGTGTGCCGGCAGCAGAGTAAAGAAAGCGTCAAACACCTCCAGGAGCAGGTTCATATGATCAAGCCATTCGGCTTGTTTTGTCTCAGGTTTACTCTGATTTGAATTAGCCAGCTCTGTTCTTGCAGAGTGAGTTTAGGAACGTGGCCTATTTCCACTGGATCTGTGTTTCCTGGATTTCAGAGAGCCACGTGTTCATGTTAGTCATAACCTTTGTGCTTGTGACCTGTCACTTCACTAGATAGAATTATATTATGTAGCACTTAATAATTTGCAGTTTCTTTTCCTTCCATTGTTGCATTGATAGCTGATAGTTACAAACAAAGGAAGCCTACAGAGTGAAAAAGCTTTAGGCTTTTTGTATTGAGTTTGTTATTTGTTCTTTGTAGCCATACTTTATAATATTGGATTATAGTATTCAATTATAACTTGTTGGCAAATCTGTGTTTCCTTAAGACAACATGTCCAATATTGATTAGACTAACACCTTTCAAATTAACAGTGTATCTGGTTAAGTCAGGTGCTGCACAGTCAGCAGGGCTGCTGGCATCAAGTTCATTGTATTTCAGAATTTTGTACAAGGTTTTGTAGAAACCAAGCCTATGTATCTATGTTTACAAGTCAGATGATACTCAGTTTATATCTGCTGACAGTCCAGATGGAGGAGAACCTGTGAAGCCACTTTAAAACTTCAACTTACTAACTTTATTAAATAGTGAGAAAGCCCTGATTGAAATGTTATACTGTGTGGTATAAGTATTCACTTACAGTGGAATGTAAATGCTGTCATTTGAATCTAATCAAAGCATATTGCTAAAACTCTGAAATACCTTGTCTAGGGAATAAGTCTTCAGTCCAGAAACAGTATAGATGTGATGTGTGTGATTATACAAGTACAACATACGTGGGTGTCAGAAACCACAGACGAATCCATAACTCTGATAAGCCGTACAGGTAAGTGTGATGATCTTAGAGTTGTAATGCTTGTATTAAAATATGTTATAGTAAAACAAAAAAGTAGAAGTAATTAATTCATAACACTAGTTTAAACACAGGTTAAGCACTAAGAAACTTTCCCTTACTGGTTTCATGAGTGTTTATTAAAGAATATGAACGTTAAGCCTGAGTGTTACGACAATAGGCATTTGTCTAGTTGAAATACAGGAAGATGTCTATATCATTTTTATGTTTCCAGTTTTATTTGGGTATAAATTATTAGCAATTTTCACTGCTTAGACTACATTTCAGTGATTTGGCAGTTAAATACTCAATATTCCATCAAAAGATCCTTGAAACTTAAAAGCAATAAAATTCCCTATGAAAGATTCTGTTTTTGAAAATTGATCTCATATGTATAGAATAAGGTCATTTAATTTAATTTTGTTGATTTTTTACAAATGGCAATTCTAATAGGTATTGTCAAAAAATGTAGGCATTCTTAGTTGGTCAAGATAGGTTGATAAATAGAAATCATTATTTCTTAAACTTTGCCTCTTGAGAATAAACTACTTATTTATGTATAGTTAAGGTACATTGTTGCAAAGTTTGTCTAGCTGTCACGGAGCTAGACAGCTTGTTCTACTAGCAGACATGATGGAACACCAGATTCCCACTCAAAGCTGAGTGAGTCACTGTGACCCATAGTGCTGGGCCGTCGGCATGAACTCATTAACCCCTTGTCAAAACTTGTTTCACGTTTTAACTCTCTCCCCAGGGTTTATAGGTATGACACAGGTCAATGCAGGGAAGTTACTTTGTTAATATTTAATGAAAACCTGACAGACTATGCCTTAAAATGCCTTTATTTCATCCCATAATGTGGCATTCTCTCTCTATATATGGTTTTAAATATTTAATATTTGCTTAATTTGCTAACTAGCAGACTTATTTATAATCACTCTTCATACACTATCTGTTTGCAGAGTCTTTTAGCTCTGTGCAATGTCTTTGACCTTGCTACAGTGTCTCTATTTTTATTTCAAATGTTTTTAAAACTAGGATCCCTTAGAGAGATTTTTCCCCCAAGTATAACGAAGGCTGTTAACCATTATTAAAAATAACTCAGTGCCATAAATTGTAGATGAGGAGTGATAGGTGGTATTTAACATGTATCATTTATTATTTACACTAGGAACTATGTGGGAGAACATGATGGAAACCAGAGACACTGGTTCATCTGGTGTGAGGAGAAAGCTTTGCCTTTATGTTTGGGATATCTTTATTCTTAAATTTAATGACATACTGTGCCAAATTCTTATGATCTGAGCAATAATAAAATAACATTCCTCTGGATCTAGAATTAGACTGTTCATTCAAATTCACTGAGAAATATTTATTGAGCAAATATTATGTTCCAGGAGCTGTGCTAGACTCTTAGACTATAGTCCTGATTAAAAAGGCATCATCAGTGCCATCATGAAGCTTATCGACAAACAGCAAACAAGGAAACTCTCAAATATACAGTTACGATAAATTTGTGAAAGAGCTTAACGATTGATTCTGCTCCTGTGGAGGAGAGTTACATCTACCTGAATAGATTTACAGCTTAAAGTCTCATTTTGATAGCTTTCTGTGTCTTAGGGATTACGTTTTCTTATGTTCTTAAAATATTCACAGACTCATAGGATTGGTTGCAGTTGTCTTAGGGTCTTCCTAGCAGTGGACAACATCCTGTGAGAATCCTCCTCCTGTTACAGAAGAGAAGACTCAGTATATCATTTTCCAAATTTATTCACACTACACAGAAAGAAACTGTTGTCATACTACTCCCTCATGTGATTATTACCAACTTTTTCTCATAACTCTTATTTTCCAACTTTGAAATCTGTGACTCTTCCTTTCACCTTCTTTAAATACTTTTGGGACACGTCCCCGTTCCTTACTAGCTCTTCGTGTTGTCAGTCTTTAATTTTGACCATTCTGCTAGGTGTGTAGTGGTGTGTTGTTGTGGTTCTGATTTGCGTTTTCCCTGATAATTCATGAAGTTGGGCATCTTTTCATTTGTTCATAGGCTACTGCCCGTTCTTTATGGGGTCATCTGCCTTCTGCGTACTCATTTGCAGCAGCTCTTTATATATTCTGAACACGAGGCCTCTGTCTGTTGCATATATTGCACATATCTTCTCTAAGCTGTGGGTTGCCTTTCTCTTCTCAGTGAGGTTTTTTTGATGAACAGAAATTTCTAGTTTTAATGTAGTCAGATTTATTAATCTTTTTTCTTTGTGGTTAGGGTTTCTGTGTCTTTATGCTCTGAAACTGAAGTTGATTTTTTGAAATAGCCTGGTGAGTAAGGAAGATGATGAGGTAAAATGTGTGCTTAGAAAATAGTGAGACTGATTTTCAGGGATGCACATCAGCTGGGCCAAAAATACTGCGTGCTTATGTATTAATGAGACTGATTTTCTAATGTGGCACCAAAACTGGGGGAAAAAAACCCAGCAAGTTTTTAAGCAATGGGAATGACATTTTGGAATGACGCCGTTGCCTCAGTGTGGTCAGTCATTGTATGAAGTCTGGTCTTTACATAAATATAAATATATTAGAAATGATAATCATAGTTAACATTTTTTAGAACATTTTTCGTGGGCCAGGCAATGCACTAAGCCCTCAGTTTGTGTCAGCTCGCTTAATCTGGACAACAGCCTAGTATTTAGGAATATTACTATCCCATTTTCATAGATATGGAAACAGAGACAGAATAGATAAAAACTTTCTCCAGGTCTCACAAGTGGCAGAGCTGGGCTTGAACCCTTGCTCCTGTCAGCTGTGCACATTGTCTGTCTCTGCTGTGCCAGAGAAAATGGCTCATGAGGCTGACTGCCGCTCATTGCCCCCCCCTCCCCCCCCCCGCAACTTAGTGGTGTAGAGCAGCAGCTGTTTTATCGTGCTCAGGGATTCTGTGGGTCAGGAATTCATAAAGGGCACTGTCAGGATGGCTTGTCACTGTTCCATAAGCTCTGGGGTCTCAGTTAAAGGCTGGAGGTCACTCAGGCAGCTGGGGGATGCAGTCATCTGAAGGCTCCCTCCCCAGGCTGGGGGTTCGTGCTGGCCGTGCCTGGGCCCTCAGCTGGAACACGTAATGCATTTCTCCGCGTGGACTTTTCAAGCATGCTAGTTCCAAAAGTGAATGCTTAGATAAGAAGTAGGCCAAGGCCATATTACCTTCTATGACCAACCTTCCACCATAGTTGTAGGCTTCTTAAGTCTCTTTTAATCTGAGGTGTGTTGAATCTTTAGTAAATTGTGTTGGCTTGGGGAAAAATTTTTCAAGTCTTTGAAAAACTTGAATTTGTCTTAATGAAAACAGTTTAGCGGATGGCATAATTTGGAGGGAAAAGATATGTTTTGTTTTGAAGGGATGAACTGAAGGAGTTTGGTTTTCACAGTAGCATGAAGACTTCTTGGGTTCATGACAAAATTTGAAGTGGCCACTTCTCTGGGCCTTAGTTATTTATTTCTTTGAAAGCATAGGAAGCGAATTGAATGTGCTAGGAGAAACCCCACTGCAGAATTTCTATTGAAATCTTTTATGTATTGTCGGGGGGCGGGGGGAATCCCCTTTCTACCCTTCTTGTGTTCATATGCCCGGAATAATACTAAAATTGACCAAAGACCAGATTAACAGGAGAAAAACCCAATTTAATTAGTTGTGCACAGGAGGATCATAAAAATGGTGCTTGGAGAGTGAACAAAGCAGGCAATATATATATATCTTTTATACAAAGAAACAATAAATTTGTGAGGAATGACAGGGCAAAGAAACTTAGTTTTAGGGTGTGTAATAAGAGAGGAATTTAAGCAGAGTTTAGGTTTGTATTAAATTAACAAGGTTTGTTTATGTCTGCCTCTCAGCCCAGAATTCCCTAGCTTTGGTGATAAGGATGCTGGGAGAGCACCTTTCACATGGGAGATTTATTTCCTGCTTTCAGGGGACCAGAAACAGGAGGGTCAGCATGCCCTTTTTGCTTCTCAAGTAACTTTAATTCAAAATAGTCGATATGCCATTGTGGGATATTTAAAGTCAGCCTGCTCTTGGTCCCAACAAATTATACTCAGCTCACCTCAAATCTTACAGGACATCCAGTTTCTGCTTTCTTCGCCTAACCCTCAAGGCACTTGCTCCTAATTGAATCAGACCTGGAATAAGGTGGGATCCAAGTAAGGTCCTAGTTCAGAGAAATAAGGTGTTTTAACCACTTCCTTATCTCCCTGGTGTTCTAGGACTAAAGTAACTAACCCATTGGAATTGGGAGAAAGCCTGTAGAAAAATTCAGTCCAAGATTTTTAGCCAGATACTGAGAAGCTTTCGGTTTTCCAATGTAAAATGTTTTCTACAGCACCAAGCAATTAACTCAGTTTTCAGCGGACACCGACCAGATGTTCTAAAAATTTAACTCAGTTCTGGCACTGTCTACCTGGAGACAGCATCAGATCCCACTGTTAAGGGCTCAGTCACACAAGACTGCCCCCCACTTCAGACACCAGGTTGTCACCTGTGCTTCTGACCAACCAGCTATAAATCGGAAGTTCCCATGACCCCCTCCTCAGGTTTGATTAGTTTTCTAGAGTGGCTCACAGAACTCAGGAAACTAGTTTACTTACAGTTACCAATTTATTAAAAAGGATACTGATGAAAACCACATGAAGAAATACACAGGGCAAGGCCCAGGAGCGGCAAGGCTCCCATGGCCTCTCTGGGCCTGCCACTCTCCCAGCATTTCACATGGTCACCAGCCTGGATGCTCTTTGAACTGTCCTTTTGGGTTTTATGTAACCATCATTACATAGGCATGACTGATTAAATCATTGGCCATTGGTGATTGAACTCAATCTCCATTCCCTCTCTCCTCCCCTGGGAGGTGGGATGAAAGTTCCAACCTCAGTCACGTGGTTGGTTCCTCTGGCAACCAGCCCCCATCCTCAGGTGCTTTCCTGAACTCACTCATTAATGTAAC